GGTTGAGTGAGACGGCCAGCGAGAGGGGTGTTATGTATTTGGGCGGAGGCATCGACAGCGAGAACTTCTGCTCGAAGATGTAGTCAACGGAGTCGACGGCGAAACCCGACCGCAGCATCACTTTCACGCACTTTAGCCAATCAGAAGTGATGGCTAAGTGCAGTGGATTCCGGAGCTTGAGCTCCGGTAGGTCTGGTCGTAGTTGCGACTCCATCTCCTTCACGTCCATCTTTTGCAGCAACAGTTCCAGTGTCTTGTGATGACCGCATTCGGCGGCCAAATGGATGGCATTTACGCCGTCGTTGGCGTAACTATTTATCAAGTGATTGAATGTATGGCTTAGTGTTGATCGCCGATGAGAGGGACAGTAGGGATGGGTAGGGAAGTGATAATACCTGTTAGGATTGGCGCCCGATTTGATGAGAAAGTCGATACAATCGGTGAATCCCTGTTGAGCGGCGATCATGACGGGTGAGGCGCCGTCGTTGGCGCCCTCATCGAGCAGACACTCCATGTGCTGTCGCATCGCTTCCTCCACCAGTATCTTCAGGCAATCGACGCGTCCGTGTTGTGCGGCCGTGAAGATCGGTGTCATTCCGCACCTGCAAGACGTCAACAACACATCAAAACACCGTTTAAGACAATGGTTAGGATTTAGGGCAATAGGTCTGTGCGGTCACTGACTCGTCCTTCGCGTCGAGTTTGGCGCCGCATTGGAGCAGCGTTTGGGTCATCAGAAAGTGGCCGCGAGTGGCCGACTCGTGCAGTGCTGTCCAACCGCCACAGTCGGCCCGATTCACGTCCACCGACTTGTGTTTGACCAGCAGTTGTACGCACGAGGCGTTGCCGGCGCGCGTGGCCGCTAACAGCGGCGTCTCGTCCTCGTTGTCGCTGATATTGGGATCCGCTTTGTGTTTGAGTAGTATTTCGACCGTTTTGTACGCGTTGTGATCGGTATTGTGACGACAGGTCAACAGCAGTGCGGTCTCGCCCTCGTGTGACCTCCAGTTCGGGTCTGTGTCCTCGTGTTTCAGCAACTCGTCCACCAATTGGTGATTATTCTTCTCCTTCAATATGGAGGCCTACGGAAGAGATCAGATGACAATTAGTTAGCGATAATTGGTATATAAATGCGATGGCGCTCAAGAACCTGATGGAGTGGACGCCACCCGCGGTTGTCCATGACGTCGACGCACTGGCCGTCACGGATCAGTTTGCGTAAGAGTTTCAGATCGTTGAGTCGCACGGCGTTGGCCACCGATGACGACGTGTCCGCGTAGTGCTCCTTGAAGTCCATATGTCTGGTCCAGTGTCTGGTTTGGGATCAATCGCGAAGAGTGTGTCTTCGGGAGTGAGTGTCTGCTGTTGTGGTGTTTTGGATGCGATTACGAGTTGTTGTTGTCATACAAACCATCGATTGCTTTCACTGTCAGTCTCTCTATGTTTTGAATGCAAAACACAATCAAAACATATGACCGAAAGAGACATCTATTGGTCGACCCATTCATCCCATTATAACTTACAGTCGAAAGCAAACCATCGATTCATTGATTGTTTTATTTGCGAATTAACCGTAAGATTAATATGCATTCAAATTGATTGTCATATCATTGAATAGCATATGGAGTCTCATAAAGTGGGTGTGGGGTAGAGCTGGTTATGATGGGTGATGTAAATGATGGTACATTTGGTTGTCACTAATGTAGCTAACTTGTTAGTTTGGCTTTAATTTATATGGTTTAAAGTTAATGGTATTTAGACAAAGTGTTTGAATGTCATTGTATTTGTTAATTGTCTGCAATTATGTTAATTATTGGGTTAGTCCGTGTCGTCCGGTAAACAATATGATTTAATATGCGGTACTTATTTGGTTTAACTACTTATTAAGTACTTACTAAAAAGTCAATTAATTTACGTTAAAATTAAAACCACAATTAGTATTGTATTTAATTAGAAATTAAATGAATGAAAAACATGACAAATTAAATGTGTTTAAAACTAATCGTAATTAAAAATCTAAAATTCAATAAATTAAATGTCAAATGAGTAGCAAATGGTGTGACGGACGACATGTGGTGTCCGTCACATAATATACAGATATTGACAACCGAAAGTGGTCACGGTAATAATTGATTTACAGCTCAGCCGATTGGGATATCTAAAAGCTGACTTCAACATCTTAAAGCCAGATAGACTGGAGATTTTTTTTGTGTACATAAAGTTATATTAAACAAACTTGGCATATTTTTAAAATTGATTTTTTACGGGCGAATTTTTCCATA